GGCGGCGGCGACGGCGACGTGTACGCCATTTGGCTACGGTCCGCCCGAATCTTTGCCACAAGCCCTGCTGGAGCGCTGGAGGAGTTGCCGCTGTCGTTGTTGAAGGTCACTTCGAATTTTGGAGCTGTTGTACCCCGGCAACCACCTTCCGGCCGCGTCACTTAAATCGATTTTAACGATTTTGTTTTTGTCTACCTGCGAGCCGCCGCAGCTTTGGACACACTCAGTCGACTTATGAATATGGAATGCATTTGCTTAACCCGGAGCCAAGAGCAGTATGCTCTTGATTGACAAAACTGTGGCAAGGACAACGGCTTATTGAGAAGTGCCCTTTGTAGCCGGCGACGTTAATTGATGAGCCAAGGATTTGGGGCATCCACTTGGCACTTCAATTCAACTGCTGTTGTGTCATCTTTGTCCACAGCTGACAGCTCATTAATAAACGGATTTTTACCTATACCATGAACTGAACGGAAAATTGTGGGCAAACAAGTCGGGACTTCCCTTCGCTGGCCTTTTGTTGACGCGGCTAATCTAGTACATAAATCTACGGTCTTATTAAGTCCACTTCAAGGCAATCAAAAGCACGAATCAAGCAGCCACTCGGCAGGGAGGCGGAGTAAGTGTGTCTTGGGTGCGGGCTTGGGCTTGGGCAGGCGGTGTGTTTGTCAAGTGGTCGGTCACACAAAAAGGGTAGCACATTTCGCACTTTTAATTAGAGCGGATTCGCTAGTTGCTTTCAGGCTGAGAAAATGCCAACTTGAGAAGCACGTGAATTTTGCAAAACTTGTGTGGAAATCAAGTGATAAATTCTAAGCTTATAGGAGCTCAAATTTAGACTAAAGTGGGATCCAAATATAAATACTTGCATATTCACTCAAACATTTTGAAAGTGTGAAAATCAAGCTTCAATTTCTGGGCTAATAAGGGCTCGAAATAAGACTAAAGTTAAGTAAAGAGTTTAATGTTTGAATACTTGTATATTTACTTAAACACTTTGAAAGAACGTGAACTAACATATTTTAAAACTTTTTTTAACTTTGTATTATTCGATATATTTGCAGCAAGAATGTAATGAATCTTTCTATTTAGAATTTCTCAAAAATTTATGTCAAGTCCTTTGCGTTAAATATGAAAAGCGTGTACTATGGTAAAATAAGTAAAAAATTACACAAATTTGCCTTAAGATATTCAGACACGCATCCTCAATTATTCTAACAATAATATAATTTAAAAAAATGCGTATAATTTGGCAAATTAAGTAGAACATTTTACATTATTTTCGCAAGTTAATAACTGACAATAAATTATTTTTTTCCACCTTTTATTTAATTAGATGGCACGTGGTGTGGGGTTTAATTTATTCAAATCGAAAATGAAAACAATTTTGTTTTAATATATTTAAAATATGTTAAACATAAAAATGCCTAATGATATATTAGGCATAATATCTGGCACATGTACAACTTTTAGCATATATTAATTTAGTTAATTATCAAATCCCTTGCATATATGCGTGTTTTATAGTTGTTGAATTTTGAATATTCTAACTAATTTTTTTATGCTCCAACTATGTAATTACCAGTGGAATTTTTAGTTAATAAATCACTTTAGTTATGCGACAGTTTTATATTTTATTTTATGTTTGAACTGAGGTTCTGTTTATGGCATTTTATTATACAACATTTAGTTAGTTGTTTTTACCGTGCTAAAGTAATTAACTTTTTGCATAATTGACACTTACCTTTGGGATTTCCAATTCTCTAAATCAACAGCTATATTTTCAAAACAGTCAACAGCAAAACAGTTGAGTGCTGTTCTTTATTTTTGTTGTTGGCACTACACAAAACAATTTTCGATTTCTATTTTGCCGGCAATTGGCAAATTGGCAACAGACTGCGGCTGAAATGGAGCCAACACACAATTCTCAATTCTCGGGCACACGGCAAATATTGAAACTTGATATTTATTTTGGCCAAATGCACAGATTTAGCCAATTAGCGTTGACTGGGCGCGAATTAGTGAATTAGCCACACAAGACACCAATTCGTGTTAAACAGTGCGGGGAGGCGGGGTAGGCTGGTTGGCCAACACAGAGGCGCCGATAATTTCACCTGCAGTCGTGAAATGCACTTGTCATGCGTTTCGTCAGTTGAATTTGTCGTTTTTAACGGATATTTTGAGTTTCGATATAATTCTGGTTGGCTCGTTGGCCGCGCGCACGTTCGGCCACAGCGACTGTAAAATTGCGACTGTTCGCCCAGCAAACGTAAACGCAAACGCAAAGCCAACCAGAAATTTGAGCCAACAGCGGCATGTCGGCGTTCAAATACTCTACCATTGCGAGCAAGGTAATATGTATATTTATAAATATTAAATGCATAAATGATATTAGTTTTATTTTTGGAAGACATTTAGCGGTTGTCTTGTGCGCCAAACATTCTTTAGATAATTGTATATATTTTTATTTATGTAAGTTATCGTGGCCAGAACTTGGTTTTTGCTCTACCAAAGGGATATATAACGACATAGGATATCATCCGACCAGCTATGATTAATCTTTTATAATGGAAATTTATTATAACCAAAAGTCAATTTCTTATAAGGCATCAGATAGGGTATCAATACAGTTTGTTGCTGCCTAATCAAGAATATACGTTGAAAATGAGCACATACAGATGTTGTTTTCCAATGTGTTACATATTTCGTCACAATGTCTTAATACCTATGGCAAGGGCATAAAAAGCAAAAGCCGAGCAAAGCCAGCCGGCTTCAATGTCGACGTCAGCAGCACTGTTGTTGATGCTGTGCTCTCTCGTTCTCGCTCACATTCGCGCTCTCCCGCTCTGTACGGCTGTACGTGTGCCTGTGTGCGTATGTGTGTGTTTGTTTTTGACTTCAAATTTGCCGGCTCCATGTTTATCAACATGTTGCAGCGCTTTTTTTCCCTCATGTCTTTGGCGCGCGCTTTCAAACAAAGTTGCAGGGCTTAAAACGGAACAATCCATTTTTGTGTTATTTTTTTTTGTTTTGTATCAATTTTCGTTTAGTGTTTTAATTGGGGCTGCGTGATTTATAATTTATAGAGTTTATTTGTTTTTATTTTAGTTGCGTCGGCTGCTTATTTATAAACACATTAAAATTTATAGTGGCCGACCCATTTGTGGCCGATTTTTGCATGAGATCAGCATCGAGTTATTTATGAGCTTGCATAGGCAACGTTGTCGTGCTGCTTGTTCTAATTTATGCTTAAAACAACAAACACTTTTCAAATTAGCCGTTTCAGGGCCACAAATGTTTCCAGTCACTTTCACCAGCAACACAGCAACACTTGCACAGCAACAATGTTGCTAAGCCAATTGGATTGTTTACATGCATTAGTCAATTGGGCTAATAAAGTTTTCCAGCTCAGTTTATACGTAGAAAATGATGCAATAGTCTCCCGCTGTAAATTTTGTGTATTTATAAACATTTGCGAATACATCGCGTTGTCTGTGAATGCGTTTCCCATTAACTAAATAGCGAATCACCTGTAACTTTATCAGGGAATTTTTTGTTATCTTGTCAAGTTTGAGCATTCTCAATTTTAAAGAATCATATTTCATCCGTCAACATAGTAAAGCTCAAATATAAACTACCGTTACTTTTTATTTTTCACAAACTTTGCTTCAAGTTCAGCTCAACTAATTGCAGCATTTTGCAAAGTTTCTCACTAAACAATGTAAACAAAAGCTTTAACAACTTTGGCAACTTGTTGCTGAAGTGAACCAGAGTTGAACAGCGCGAGAACTTTTTTACGGGCTTAAGGCACAGTAGGCACTGCCACCAGATAAACAAACAATAAATGAACATAGATAAAACAAGTATTTTTCATAATATAAACGTATTTTTAACTATTGCCTTTCTATGCGATTCTCATGAATTCAAGTAAGACTCACAAACTTTCATGCTTTCATTTTAGGTATAATACTAACCAGGTTTGTGAGCAATCCATCTACAGTGTTGGCAAAATCATGTTTATGCTAATTTGTTGGTAAGTACAAAGTTGAACATATATATACATATAAATTATAATTTATCTTAAGGAAATTCAGTACTGGGCACGGGTTATACTCTAAAAATAAATTCACAGCTTGAAAATTTCTCAATTTCTTTCATAAACAAAGCGTATAAGACAATTAAATAATTTCGATTGCTTGCTTGAGCCTGACCCATTTAGCTTTATTGACAGAGACATTGAAGTGGATGATGTACGGACAAATGTATAAGTGGAAAGACTGGACATTTGAGCTCTGCGACTGTTGAGACAGTTTATTGTTTAATTTGCTGCATTTTGAGGCGATAAAGAAAAAGCGACGCCACATGTAATGTTTACATTGTTTTGTTTTCGGGGACAAAAATGGCAATAATGTTGCTCGCATTTATGTTGCTAATGACAAAGGCCTATTGAAAATATATGAATTTTTGTACGAAAATGTAAAGCGAACTTTATTATTAAGTGGCCAATTGATGGCTCACATGCGCGCAGACAACCAGCCGAGTAATTGAAAGTAAACAGTTTTTTAATCGAGCAAATTAGGAATGCAAAATAAAAATTCCAACTGAGAGATTAAATTATGAAACAGTTAAGAGGCCAAATTCTAGCGAACAATAATCGAAACAATGATGCATGGATTTTCACTGAAGCTACTTTTTCTTCGAAATTCGGATGTACAATTCCAGATTTATGTATTCCATAGAAAGCCTAGTTTCTAAGATCCTAATATGTAGATCGTGGAAACGGCAATCTTTGTGAGCTGTTGATAATTTGCAATAAACGTGATCTGCGAATGCAATGAGCGTCTATTTTTTAAATATTAAGTTCGATCAGAGAGAGAGACGAACATGTGATCAGAGATCAAAACCTTATTTAACCCGTTGTTTCATGGCCGTAACAAGAGTTAGAGGAGCATTCGCATTTGAAAAGCGGAATTATTCCCCTACTCCCAATATAGTAATACTTTAATTGAGTTGGTTACTTACTTTATTAAATTTATATCGTAAGCATAAATCTGTGTTCGCAAGCTGTGAGTGTATGGATAACCTCTGTGTACGTTGTAAGCTCGGGTAAAGATCTCTATTTTAATCAATCTCCATGTTATGGCTGAGTGAAGGCGTTCAGGTCAGCTTTTAGGAACTGACTCGACTAGCTTTCGTTATGTACAAATGCATGTACACACCTTGTTGCTGGGACATTGCTGGGCTGTGGTCCGCAGAATGCGTCGATTTGAGGCAACTTTCTTCTCCTTGGTGCCACCATTGTTACAACAGCCTTTCGACTCTCAATCTTTGATAAGATTAAGAGCAGCTTTTGCCGTCACTTAGAATCTAATGTCAAAGCCGCGAGAGTAAAAGGCGAGGATTGTCACTTTCTAGGTGCATTAAGCCATTTTGTGTTTCCTTTCAAAAATTGAATCTCTGCTATCCGATATGCAATTATGCAGTGTAGTGTTGAGTAATACATCGTAGGCCAGTGTAAAAGTCTACGAATCTGGACAAATGAAAGATTCGAATTTGCGGCAATCTGTGGGCATAGTTTTTATCAATCTGTTGCAAATCAGGCTCAACTAGCAGCGACTCACCCTTGGCCAGGTTCTTGTACAATTATCCTTTAAACGCCATCAAAATGTCCTTTCCAATCGCTCTTTATATGGCCTAACATTGAATTACTCAATCTCTACAGCTGTTTCGCACTGAAGATCCTCGAGGCTTCAATCCTGATGGCAACTCGTCTTGGATTTGCCTCTGCAATGGTGCCAGTTATGGCATGCATGCTATTCCATAAACTACAATAACAACAGATCAAAAGTTTAGTCTTTTCTATTAGGTGGTAGCATTAGTTTTCTGGGTAGAAGGTGAGTTTTCCACCTTTTAGATGCCAGTTTTAATCGCGTGCCTAAAATGTAATAAATGAAAGGATTAGTTTTTGCGGAAATAATATAATGAAAAATGCTGCTTGCCTTTTATATGAAATCGAGACTTCGTTTTAAATAAATTTTGTGTTCGTCTTAGTGTTTTGTTTTGGACTGAATATATTACAAGTTATTGTAACTTACATACACAGGGAATTTAGCAAGGCCTACTTGTAAAAGTTTTGTGTTGCCCAAATGAACGTAAGAACATGAGCCAAACTTTCCTGGCAATATTTTGGCCCAATACTAATCAGCCACCATCTATCCGAATCATCCTGAATAATACCGAATCCGCAAACTCGGCGCCTAGAAGGACTCGCCAGCCAGGCAATTCGTATAAACGATGTGAATACATCGTGGCATTGATTTCCTGATGTGAAAAATCGATGTTCGCTTCGTCACAAACTAGATACAAGGCGCTTGAATGATTGGCTATGCTAAATATAAATATGACAACAATAAAAGTCAAGTCGACGTCATCATAATCAAGCGCATACACAGAAATAGAACCTAAAACCGGTGGCCAGATGACGACAAGTGGTCAATCCACCAGTTGCCCGCGCGGGGGAGGCGGACCGCATAGAACACCATCTGGGGCGTGGGCCGACACCAGGCGCTGGCATTGGACCAATGGCGCCTACTTTTGAATAAACAACAGCATTACACGATGTTCTAATATATTCAACATTTGTTCAACCGAAAACCGAAACGAGCAGAACAAATTACAATTTGATAGTTTTTTAGTTTGCCAGTTTCTTAGAGTCTGCTACTGTGCCGTTCCGTGCCGAGGCCGAGCATTTTGGTGTGTTCTTTTCTATCATGGAGACGATGATGATGATGGCATTGATTTGTATGAGACGAGTGCCAACCAAAGGGCTGGCCAATTAATGTCTAGCATCAGTTTACAGATTGTTTCTTTGGCACCCTGCTCTTGAACTTGCGCAACTCTCGCGTGTGCTCGGCTGTCTAATTTATTACAATCTAAATATATTGTGGGCCTACCCCACACGTTTTTATTCATTTCTCATTCATTAGCGCTAAACAAAAGGTCAACTGTCTAACCATATATGCAGCGAGCACATGGCACATAAATACCATAATTCAAATGTTACCCTGTAATCAATCGGACACAAGAAATAATGCAGTAAAGTTTGCATTTCAGAAGTTCATCCCAATTTCCGTATTCATTCAAGACTTGAATATATAGTCGTGAGCAATAGACTTTGTAATCTTTTATGCCCTTAAGCTATGCCAATTTTAGTTCAATTGTATTATGATGCCCAAGTCTGTGTGTGTGTGGGTGTATGCCTGTATGTGTGTGCCAGATGTGCCAAAAGTTTTCAATTTTTTCGCACATTCCAGAAGCGAGCAACAACCACATGTGGATTTATGCGCAACTACATATGTGGGGCTCTGCTCCAGTAAGAAACAATCTTTTCCGCCAATAAGCACACCGCACCCCTCGAAACTGGGCTAAATTAAGTGCTAAATTTGCTTTGTACAGCAGCCAAAAAAAAAAAAAACAAAAGAATGAAAAGAAAATAGAATTAAACAAATAGACGAAAAACTAACATAACATGCCGAATGCCTGCATTATAAATAAACCAAGTGTTGTATGCATGCTGGCATCAAATTTAATGGGATACGCAAACTTGCACTTGTTGATGCACTACAGACAGTAGTACATGCCTATATGTGCCCCACACCCACGACTGGCCGCAAGCCGCAATAAACTGGCTAACACACATGTCCCGGCAGCCGATCCGATCTCCGGCTTGCTCCATTTCCCGGCACTGTGTGCATGCCGAATTGGCCAAAATGCGTGCCAGTCATAAATTCGCATATAAAATATGGTTTAACTATGTTCTGGAACATGTGTATTTTCCTAGCCGAAGGTCACGAATTGCATGCAGCATTCGTATTTGTGGTCCCAGTGATTCAGTGCCTCGGAAAAATAGTATATACAAGACGCCTGTGAGTAATACAACTTTACGGCCATGCAAATGAGCAATGAAAATCCAAGACGACGTATGATTAATGCCGTAAACAAGTGAACCGTGTGGAGAACATGTTGGCAATTATGCTAAAAGGAAAAGCTATAACAAAAATTGGCATATTTTATAATAAATTTCAATTAAAATTATATTTGATAAAAGATGCTAGATAAAAAAATGAAGAAATATTCCAAGTTTCACTGGGAACACACACACACACGCACACACACACGCACACAGCTCTGGAGTTGCAGACGACGCGTCTAAACGTCACTTAATTGGTTTTCGTTGTTATGCGGCGATTGGCGCTAATTGAAGGCAACTTGTCGAGCGACTAACTGGCCACAGTAGAGACTCAGCAAACCAACTGCTGAAAATCCACTGCAAATGCCGGTGGCAGTAAACAAACTTTGTCATTCGCTACGACTCGCTGTGAAGCGTGGCGCTTTCAAGGCCTCTGCAAAAAAAAATTATGCGTTCAACACTGACGGAGAGGGGAAGGGAGACGTGCGCATTGGGGGCAGTATATCATGGTAGGGGGAAGCCTTGGTGTCTGCCTCTGTCGGTGGGCTCCATTGCACTAATTGGTTTTCAATATCTTTATGGCATTCACTTATGTGTTGCTAGAGGCCTTAAAAACTTTTCAAAAATATTGCATCAACCTGTGAAAAACGGCTCACTAAACGGTTTAGTGTTATTAAACCAATCGGTTGCTAGAATGACCAAAAAGAATTTACAATTCAAATAGTTTGAGCAAAAACTAAAAAATACTTAATGAACAGTGCCGAATTTTTTTTCGTATCAAATGAAGACATCAAATTTAATTGTCACTTAACATTGGGTTCTCAAGTTCAATTAGACGGCATTATTTGAGCGAAAAGATTAAAAACGCATTTAACTATTAATCAAAGAGAGAGAGAGGGAGAGAGAGAGAGAGGGGGGCATAGATTAAGAACATTTAACAAATTAAAGAACAAAAATTTGGTTCAGTTTGTCATCAGAAGAAGTAGATTAAAATGAACTGGATAAGTCAAAGAGAGGGAGAGAGAGAGAGAGAGAGAGAGTGGTATAGATTCGGAAACATTTACCAAATTAAAGGAAATGCTATTGAGTTGAGCCAGCGAACCGTTTCCTATGGTTCAATTTGTCATATAAAGAACTAAATTCAAATGAACTAGCTCAATGCAGGTTCAAATCCCGCTGATAAGTAATGTATATGTAAGCGTCATGTTATTACCTGTGCTTATGGAGAAATTCGCTGAGAATCGAGTCTATAAATTTACCGTATAAATAAATAATGAATAATAATCATTTCTGTGAATGATGCATGAAATTTCGCACAGAGTTTGTCACAGCAAATATCAATGGAATTCGAATTTACATCCTCTGAGTAAGAATTTATCTGGTATGACTCAATTGTTGCAACAATCGCACCTGTAACAAACAAGTATGCGTAAATATGACTCACCTTGGGAGAGACGCATTAATTATGTACTCGCTATATAACTGAATTCCCATTTAAATAATATAACTTTCGTTAGCTACGCCAATTAATCAATTATTTTGTTAATTAGCAAATATGTAGTGTGCATCGAAAGTAGCTGGCATATATGCACAGATTCGTGTATGGCCAGGTAAGCAAATGGAAATTGGCAGCAAACTGGCCATAGCACGTATACGCCACATTGGACAGGCCACCCCGCGTGCCCGGTCGAGCGAGTCGAGTGCAGCGAGTGAAATTCAATTTGTCAACCAGAAAGCGAAAATTAGCTGCACTTTGCACAAAATAATTGCGTTTTGCTGTTGCGCCTTTTGGCGGCTTAAAAACATTTGTGCAAAACGCATTAAAGATGCAAACGAAGTCTCAGCCGCAGCCACGGAATCGTGTCAATGACACATTGTCCAAAAGGCAACAATAACGGCAATAAAAACCACAATTGCACCACCAAAACCACTGCCAACCATCAACCGTCAACAGCAACCAAGCTGTCACAAGCCGCATTGCAATCGTGGCCAAAACGGAATCATAGCTGCGCGCCTAGACTCTTCCCTCTTCGGGCAGTGGGCCACCTTTCGCTTTGCCTGCCCGCTATGCCCCTCTCCCCGGGCACCTTAACAAATGCAATGCCATTGCCATTTGGCTAAATGACTTGCCAATTCTTATGAATATTTAATTTTATGCTCATGCTCATGTTTGCTTTATGGAAATCGGAGATTTTGCCCAAAAATGAAAATGAAAATTTCATGTAAAAGTCGAAATGACGACGAGTCGCACAGTGGGACGAGTTATACTAAATAAATAGGTGAAAGTCTCCAAAATGAAACTTTAATGATCAGAATACGTAAATAATTTTGTAATTGTTCATTATATTTGTATCATTTGATACAAATTTTTAAACATTTTCGAATTGCAAAAACAAGTTATTCGCATTCTCCTTCCCACGGTGCGAAGTGTTTATTTGGACATGTGAAACACATATTTTTGCTGCTTGCACTTTGGACTTTGCTGCTGTTATGCAAATATTTAAAAGGTTGAAATTGGAGAGACAGCATTTTATGCAGCCGGGAACAGCTCTGGGAAGCATTGACATGAGAGAGTCCAATAAAAAGCGTATAAAAACTACAGCAAAGTTCAATTGTATCAATTTGGGCGGCAGCATTTTTGTGCGAAAATAAATTAAAAGCGCGCAGGCCGCCGATTTGGACTTGCTGGCCAGGGCGGGGCAGAGTGGGCCAGGGCAACACTCTGCTGCAGGCGACCAGTTGCGGCCAGCTGGTAGAGCTCATCAATCATAACCATCAATCAGACGTGAAGAACAGCCAGAAAGAAAGAGAGAGAGAAGCACAAAAGAAAACCCACCGATGTAGGCAACTTTGAAGTTGGCGGCGCACGCCATAAAGTCCAAAACGTGGATGAGCGATTTTGTGGTCCATTTCAATTACGAGCCAACAGATATATGCGCTATATGTCTATGGGAACCTCGTAAGATCTAATAGAATGAAAAAAAGCTTGCTAAAATATTTCAGCTAATAGTATTCATAGCATTTTTCAGTGCGGCCAGACCAATGTAAAATCCTTGCTCCCACGATAATTTACTCAGATCGTTTACACAAATTGCGATGATCTCATGCCACTTGGACATTCTCAATTGTTTGAGATGTTTTCTACACATTTCGGATTATTTGCATTG